CACCATGTCTCCTCTACACTCTGGCTTGTGGTCTGTCCCTCAGCTACAGGCCCTGCATTAAAGGTGATGACATCAGCGGGCCTCTGACCGCCGGAGCATAGGGCACTGGGGATGGAGGGAGCAGGGATCAGGTAAGTAAAAATCCTTAACACAGCCCCCATGGACATTAACGAGCAGTTCATTCTTGTAGGTAACTCGGTTATAATGGTGTATGGGATTCATTACACTTGTTCTGCACTTGCAGCAACCTTATACACGGCAACAATTATTAGAGCTATTTTTTTTTTTACAAAGCGAATGTCAACATATTGTTTTTTTCCCAGAGTTCAGCTTTAATGCTGTCTGTGTCCCCAGTGGGTCAATTCTACCTCTCATATTGTCTCATTTGACATTGGTCACCAGAACAAATAGAGACAGCAGGTGTTGGGAATCTTCTTCTTCCCAACTGGGCACAGACAGCAGGTAATTAACTCTGGGGGGTGTGTGTTAATCCTTCCCTATGCTATCCAAGACTAAAAGGATAATATTTGCTATACATACAGCAATAGTCTTCATACAGGAGCCATGTGTATTACTATTGAATTCTTGGTGTGCTTTTTGTATTTCCTCCAGATCTGTGTAGTGAACCAGTGTGAACCTTTCCTCTGTACGGGAACTTCCTGTAATAAAGACCATAACATATGTTACAACTTTCTTTTACAAAAAAAACGACAGTAGTGGTTGTGCTGCCTTTATCTAATTGCCGAGGACGTCAGGTAGCTCAGCGATCTGTAGTCCAAGGCTTATGTAACTGACCTCGCTGCATGGCATTCATTCACATCGGTTTGACACTGTCCTGTTCTGAAGCTGGTTAAACTGTGAACATGTGGCTGCATTCACACCTAAGCACGAGCGTCGCTAGGCTCAAGAACATTGTGCCAGAAGAGAAAATACACTAAGAATATTTCAATTTGCCCCATTCTCACAGCACCTGGTTAACTCGCACAGAACAGATGTAGCTGCCGTTTTGCTGGACCAATAAGCTATGTGAATATTTTATTAATAGACCCTTATCAGTCTCAGTTGTTCCAACATAAAATGAATGGCTTTCATTGTCTTGAGCGTATTGTCAGACTTACATTTGAGCGAGAATATGCCCAGGTGTGAACTGCAAGCGCAAACGAAAATAATTGCGGTCAATTACCGCAAGTCATCTAGGTGGTTTTTTTTAACTACCGCTGATTGAACCTTTCGATAATCGGGGCAGGATGGGGCCGATTTCCGTACGACGGTTCGATCATCGGACGAAAAGCTTCGTCCGATAATCGTAAGGTGTATGGGCAACTTTAGACTTGGTTGCCTCTATGAACAGCATCAAACTGTAGCTATCTATAGACAGAGCTGTAGCTACCATGGGGCGAGTGAGGCACTCGCCTCCAATGCAGCTGAGAGGGGGCGCAGCCAGGGCCGGCCAACAGAGCCATGGGCAACAGGGGCGCCAGGAGGCCAACACAGCTGCGGCTTGGCAGGGACAAGAGGTGTGCACAGGCTCCAGCTTCTCCTCGGATCCACGCTGCTCTCCCCCACCTGTATGGGCAGAGGACTCTGTGTCCTCAATCTCTTTTTCTATTTCAAAGGGAAATGTCAGGGGTCTGTTTAGACCCCTGATATTTCCCCGAACCCCCCCAGTAAAAAAAAATTAAAAATTAAAAAACAAACACCCCCAAACACACATGCACACATATTACTAGACATGTGCAAACGCTATAAATTCGTTTTGGACTAAATGAACAGAAACGAAAAATATTGTCATTAGTTTCCTCAAACAAAACAAATGTTTATGCGATTTTGGATTTGGCCACCAGCGCATTCTGCGCATTCATGCCACCATCCTGGAGGTGGGGCGCATGACGTCACAAACCGCACACGTCTGTTGGGCGGGCACAATTTTCTGTTTTTTGCCTCGGGCGCAAAAAGAGCTAGCTGCGGCTTTGTCTATAGATGTGACATTACATGATAGGTATGTCTACAATCTAGAAGATATGTTGTCCGCTCACCATTCTGCTTTGGAATATCATCTTTATTCATATTCCTTTAGCATGAGATGTGAATGCAACGTTTCGGAGCCTCACAGGACCCCTTCATTGGGCAAAGTGTCACTGTGAGGATCCAAAACGTTGCATTCACATGTCATGCTAAAGAAATACGAATAAAGATGATTCAGAACTCCCCAATATCATCCTTTTTGAGTAGGTAGGTCACTCAACAAAAAGGATGATATTAGGGGAGTTCTGAATCACGGAGATGCCGGGAGCAAGCGCTGAGGGATATCGCCTTGCAGCAGGCTTTACATTTACTAAGAGAGCGCTGGTTGACTGTGGTTACAGTCAATCATTTTGGTGATTGCGCACCCATTGGGGTTTCTCACAAGGAAAAAGAGTCACCTATCTCTGGACCACTGATTGGTGTTAGATTGTTTATATGAAACTGGATGTGGAACTTTTAAAGTCACTTCTGGGATTTGGTTCACATTGATTCACTATTTCAATCACTATCTGGATTGGACTGATATGATGGCATTTTGTTGTCATAATCCATGATGGATTATTAGCATGATATACACCAGGCCTTCTTAAACTTTCTCCACTCGTGACCCCTTTTTGTCCGAGGAAATTTTTAAGGGACCCCAACGTCGGTCGGTATCTCCCCCCTCCCCTAGCGTAAGTCGGTGTCGCCCCCCCCCTGCATCAGTCAGTGTGTCTCTCCTCTTCTCCCCCCCCCCAGGGTCGGTCAGTGTCTCTCTCGTCTCGTCTTCTCTCTCACCCCCAGCGTTGGTCAGTGTCTCTCTCCTCTTCCCTCCCCTCCCAGCACCAGTCAGTGTCTCTCTCCTCTTCTCAGGAAGGTTCCAAGTGCACAGGGGGGGGGGGGCACGACCTTAAAAACTACACTACACTGCAAATTATGCAATAAACTGAAATAAAACAATCTAGCTTGGAGTCCAGACCTCCTCGGCTGCCTGGGCCCCTCACACAAGTAACGGCCATACCCCCCTGATGGCGGTCTTGGCCGGGGACTCGGATCGCGACCCCCCTGTTCACTTGCGGGACCCCATATGGGGTCGCGACCCACACTTTAAGAAGCACTGATATACACTACAATTCACTTTATTATATACACTAATTCAAGAGTGTTGATATTTACTTATATATTATTGCTGATGAGTGCTATATTTTATATTATTTAATGTATGTTTTCATCAAATAATTCATATATTTATTACATGATTTATTTTCACTTAATAGTTGTTTAATGATGATTTATTTTATTTACACAATAAGGTGTGTCACTTACGATTGATAGACAAGGTTTTTAGCGGTGTGCATTTTTGGTTCTGATATTCAAGAGCCTTGTGCTTCTTAGCATAGCAGCCTTTAACTGAGTTTTCACCTATCCTAAGCACAGATCAATGATATTTTTTCACTGGATCACTTAATCAGACTTTCCTTGCGCTCTGGGGCAGGAGGGTGGCGTGGTGGTGTCATTAATTTAAATGGCACCGCAAACACACATCCCGCCTGCAGTGTGATCGCCTGCACTGGAATGCATGGTACCGCAATGCCCTGCATTTCGGTGCAGTGCGATTGCAAATAATCATGCATGCCATTTCAATGACACCGTCACACCCCCTCTAACCCCAGAACGTGAGGGAGAGTCTGATTAAGCAATCCAGTGTATTCATGCCACGTGACTGTGAGATGAACAGACTGGATGGTATGAACAGGCCCTCAAGCAGAGTGAATGTACTGTGGAATAGGAAACTATATGTTTTTTTTTACATTCAGTTTTGGCAGCACTGTCACAATAAGCACATTATATGGCACAGTGACCTGACCTAAAGGGTACACAAGCCTCGGACACAGCAGCAGGAATAGGACATAACCCATGTGTAAGTGAGCGACGTATGTCCTCCGCAGGGCCCTTGCTGCACTCACCCAGATCCTCTTCAGCACAGTGATCTTGCCCTTCTCCACCGCCTTGAAGGAAACTCACCTTGTGCTCCCACTGTCACACAGCAGGTCTGTATCACCTGGTACACAAGCCACACACAGCAGTCGGCAGCAGCTCAGCAACTACACCGGGAGAACAAGTTTCGGGGAACGCATTGTTGTTCGTTTCACGCTGTTCTGTTACAGATACCTGGCCTGATGACAGATACCTGGCGGTGAATCTCGGACAGGTGACAACCGGGTCCCCTCCTGGCAGTGCCCGAATGGTCAGTCTGCCCCTGTGCAGCTGTTAGAAACATGGGGACCCCCGGGCCGAAACCATAAGTGTTTGACTTGGTAAATGAATGCATGTAAACTTCTGAAAACTGATGCAGTTTTCCCAGCATGTTTTTGTCTTGGTTTTCTTCCATGGATACTTTTGATGATATATTATTGACAATAGGTAACATTACAGGACACAGTAGTTTGTCTATAGCCCTAGTGCCCAAACTGTGGCTTTTTGCGGCCCCTTGAGACCCCTGTAGACAGTAGTCTGTTTCACTATTGCCCTAAAATAGCATAGTGATCTCTAGCAGTGTCATGTAGCTTATCCCCAGTGTATGACTGTCTCCTAAAGTTTTTCCCCAGTCAATAACAACTCCTATACCATGTTTGCAGTCTCTGGCCATCTCCTGCAGCATGCCTATACTTTTTTGATTATCTCTAGTAGCATGTCTTTAGTCTTTGACCATCTCCTGTTTCATGTATCAGCAGTCTCTGAAAGGTTTATGTAACATTACATTCATTGAATATTATGTGCAGCCTGTTGGCGATGTCAGGGGTCAAACTTTAGGTCCCTATGTGAGAAGAGTTGACCACCACTTGTCTAGACTAGTGCTTCCCATATTGTCAAAACACATAGAAAAGCATGCGTTTGTAAAATCTCATTCTGTTGTCCAGATCTCTAATGTATTACAATAATATGTCCTTAAGCACAATAAAGTGAATATTGTATAATTTTCCTTCCTGGGTAGAAACGACCTATCAGAAACATGGCGCCTAACTCAGCCCTGCAAGCAGCTATAGACCTTACTGCTGGAGCTGTAGGTGAGTCACATTGGTGGAACCAAGTACAGTAATACCTTGGTTTGCGAGCATAATTCGTTCCGGCAGCATGCTTGCAATCCAAAGCGCTTGTATATCAAAGCGAATTTCCCCATAGGAAATAATGGAAATTCAGATGATTCGTTCCACAACCCAAAAATATTCATATAAAGTGATTACAATACTGTACTGTAATATAATACTGTACAAAATATAAAGAAAAATAAACCAACTACAGGTACATTCGTGGCTAGTGTGAGGGAGACGAGAGAGGAGGATTATTGTGCAGGACGACTTTCACTATCACTAACGGAATCACTGCTATCTCTTGACTCAATGGAATCTTTTTCATTTCGTGAAACCTTAACAAGGAATCTATCCAATGTGACATTGCATTGTCGTTAAACAGACTCATCGCTCGCAATGCTACAGCCTTATTCGGGTGGCGCTTTTCTACAAAATTTTGCTCTTATTTGCTTGTCTTGCAAAACACTCTCAAACCAAGTTACTTGTAAACCAAGGTATTACTGTACATATATTTATTTTTCATAGAACTGCATTGTTTTTTTGTATTTTGCAGTAACGTGTTTTGTGCCATGCAGGTTATGTTATATATGAAGAAAACAGAAATCACACTCAATATATTATTAGTTATGCAACTCTTTTCCAGGGGATCAAAAATTAGATAGCCTACCTAGCTTATATGAGACACAGGCCAGATCAATTGACAACACCTCTCTCCTCTGTGAGAGCAATAGCCAGTAATAAATGCGATACAGATGATAATAGCCAGAAAAGTAGCATTACATTGGTGGTCAGTAGACAAGTGTCCCCTTACACTGGTGGTTAGTGCAAAAATGGCCTCTTACATTCTTGGTCAGTGTCTTGTTACATTGGTGGCCAGTCCCATGCCCCCTTACGTTTGTTGTCAGCAGAGAGATGTCACCTCTCATTGGTGCCCAGTGAAGAAGCAGGCCCTTACATTTGTGGCCAAGTGGTTAAGTGTCTTTTTCAATCGCTTGTCAATGGAGAATTTGTGCTTTACATTGGTGGCCAGCGTAGTGCCCACTTACTCTGGTGTAGTGCCCCCTTATATTCATGTTCACTGCATTGCCCCTTACATTGGTGTCCAGTGTAGTGCCTCCTTACATTGGTGTTATGCCCCCTTACATTGGTAGTCAGGGAAGAAATGTCCCTTTACATTGGTGGTGAGTGGAGGAGAGTTCCCTTACATTGGTGGTCAGTGCAGAATTATAATATGTTATAAAATATAATTTGTTTGTGTAGGTGGAACAGCTTGTGTCCTAGTTGGACAGCCATTAGACACTGTCAAGGTAAAAATGCAGACATTCCCCACCCTGTACAAAGGACTTATAGACTGTGGAGTGAAGATTTACGAACAGTTGGGCTTCCGAGGATTCTACAAAGGGACCAGCCCAGCCCTTCTCGCCAACATTGCCGAGAACTCTGTGCTTTTCATGAGCTATGGCTTCTGTCAGGGGATTGTGAGGAACATTGCTGGCTTAGACAAAAGTGCAGCCCTAAGGTGAGCACAATATACATATTTTAGCCAGACACATGTTATATTACATTATATTATTATATATTACAAAAAAAAGTTTATCATGTAAATTGCCTCTGAATCAAATTTGTGATTTCAAGTCAGGCCTATAAAATATTCACATGAATGAAAATTGTATTCTAAAGTGCACCTGTGCCCAGACCACTGGCAGAACAGCAGTCGCATGTGTGACCGGGCCCTGGCCCCTCTGCCCGACCCCGGTAACACTGCCGAGGCGTCGAGGGACTCCTATGGCATGTTGGTTTCTCCTTTATGGTTACTTGCATCGGGGCCCTGAAGTTTTTAGTTATGCCTCTGGGGCCCAGACTATGGATGCTCAAGTTTAGAGCAAACTAGGTCCAAACCTGAGCTCCTCTAAACAAGGAAGTGCCATAGGCACTTCCACCCAATCAGCTGTGGGACGGGCATTCTCTGCCCCACCGCTGCATGTAAACAAAGGGACAGAATGCTTGTGCTGACATAATTTACCTAATATGGCCACATAGCCATATTGGGTCAATTACTAAATAAAGGCATGTAGCCATATAAGATCACTGCATCCCACCCCTTTGCTTACGTTAAGCTAGGGTCAGGGAATTCCCGCCAGCAACTGATTGGGTGGTGTGAAAGGAGCTTCCTTTCATGTTCAGGTGGAACTCCTTCCAGGTTCAGAGGAGCTCAGGTTTGGACAGGGTTCGGTCTGAACCTGAGCACATCTCTAATTCTCAATAAGTTATTAAACCCTCCATAAGAAAAATAAATGTATCAATATATCTTGTTATTGTTTGTTTGCTGTCCTTTTTTGTGCAGCCTTTTTTGCAGCATAATGAGCCAATGAAGACTTAGTAGATCTTATTTCTGCCTGTTGGGTGGCTACATTGCCTTGCAGAGTCTCCCTGGAGGTTTATCATAGGCACCCTGATGTTCATGCTTCCAGTTGGGACCCTTTTATTACATACCAATCCATGCTGTGTTTGTGCTTAGAACATACAGTACTCTGAATGGTCTGAGGTTGTTAGTGGTGTTCCCCAAGGTTCAGTGTTGGGCCCCTTACTGTTTAACCTATTTATAAATGACAAGAATTGGGGATTATTTCTGTGATGACACCAAGTTATGTAGTGGAATACAGTCCTTACAGGATGTCTCCAACTTACAGCCAGATCTGAATGCACTGTGTGATTGGTAGAGCTGTTTAATCGATTTAGTCGATTAAAATCGACGATTGAAAACGTTGCCAACGTTTTCGATCGTCGATTCGTCTCTTCCTGATTGGACGGCTCCGGCTGGGTACCAGACGAAGGCCACATTCTCGATGGAGAGGCCACGGGGGTGACAGGCTGCACATACTAAGGTAAGGTAACCTTACCTCACGAGGCCATCTTCCTGCTTGGCCAGCTTCCCGACCAATCAGGAAGCCAGGCAACGCGTCATTACACGCTGCCCGGCTTCCTGATTGGCCGGGAAGTCGGCTCCATGCTCTCTCATCACAAGTGACGAGAGAGCATGGAGCCGCTTCCCGGTCAATCGCGAAACCGGGCAGCATGTAATGACGCGCTGCCCGGCTTCCTGATACCGGAAGTACTGGTGCTAGGCATTGGAGCATTTGGGCGAGTACGAGTACTTGCCCAAATACTCGGAATCGGCACCAATATCGATACTAGTATCGGTATCGGTGCATCCCTAATAGCATGCAATGTCAAGCCGCAGTATCTAAAGCAAGCAAAATACTTTCTTGTATTATATGGTGTATAGACTCCAGAGATAGAGACATCATCCTGCCCCTGTACAAAACATTAGTAAGACCTCATCTGGAATATGCAGTTCAGTTTTGGGCACCAGGTCACAAAAAGGATGTTGTGGAACTAGAGAAAGTCCAGCGAAGGGCGACTAAACTCAAGAGGCATGGAGGAGCTCAGCTATGAGGAAAGATTAACTGACCTGAATTTGTTCTCTCTGGAGAAGAGGCGATTAAGGGGGGACATGATCACAATGTATAAATGCATAAATAGTCCATATAGTGAGCTTGGTGCCAAATTATTCACGTTAAGGTCACTGCAAAGGACAAGGGGGCACTCTTTGCGTCTGGAGGAAAAGAGGTTTAACCGTTGCATACGGAAAGGATTCTTCACAGTTAGAGCTGTGAAAATGTGGATTGGGCTCTCCCAGGAGCTAGTTCTAGCTACCTCAGTTAATTGTTTTAAAAAACATCTGGATGTATTCTTAAATGCACAGAATATTACTGGATATTCAGTTCTTATAGGTATATTAGGCACCAGAGATGATCCAGGGAATATCCGATTGCCTTATGGGATCAGGAAGGAATTTTTTCCCCCTGTTGGAGCAAATTGAACAATGCTTTATAGGATTTTTTTTGCCTTCCTCTGGATCAACAGGGGGTAGCTGTGGTCATAGCTTTCTGTTGAAAAAAGACATGTCTTTTTTCAACCTGACTAACTATGCAACTATGTAACATGCAGGTGCATTACATTTAACACACCAGGCTGCAAGGAGACATCCTAAGGGCACTATGTTCTTGGGCTGTGACCAAACTGGGGCTGTGAGGAGATGTCCTAAGGGCACGCATACATACTATGTCCAACATGCCAAGAATCATAGTACTGTATAGTCCCAGTATATCAGATCAAATCTGGAAAGGGGAACAGCGCAGAGACCAGTTAAAAAGGAAATGTACTTGGTCCAAAATTATATAAAAAAACATTGGTTATACAGCTAGTTTAGTGGCTCTAAAGGTAAAACACATTTTTTTAACTTATTGTTTGAAGCGGATCTTTACCCATATCTTTATAATAACAACAAACACACCTTCAGAAATGTTTAGTAATGACAATCTACAAACACATAATATAGATCATTTGTATTCTTTGCATTCCTTATTTCTCTTTTCTTCCCAGTCTTCTGACAGTGTCCATGTTTATTAAGGGCAGATTACTAGCTCTCCATTTACTTCCTGCATTTCTGGCACATGTGACTAGGACATGTGACCATGCACATCATCTCAGGGGAGGAAAATGCCTTTCCCTGAGATCTTGTGAGATTACAGATGAGATTTCCCAGCAATGCTCTGCTGATGACAATGTCCCAATGTGCATTGCTTTTGGCAAACTGAAGTAATTTTACCCTTTCAAAGCAGGAAGTGAATGGTCTGCAAGTGTAAGTATTTCAAAATCACAGCATTTTACACCTGACATTTCTATGTTATTATTAATCATCATACATAGAGGGATGCATTGTTAGAATTCGATTTTTAAGTGTAAAGGTCCGCTTTAGGGGAGGGTTACACCCCATCAGCTTGATTTTTGCCATCTGTGTCCCATGGAGGAGATTTCCCTTCATTTTCTGTCCGATAGCCACAACAGGACTCTGTTTACATGTGTAAAGCCACTGTCGGCTTTACAGTGGAAGCAATTCCGACGGCTGAGCTGCTGCGAGATTGCTTCCAGGGGTCGGTGAATCGTACCACCCCACCTGAAACCCTGCCTTACTTCCTGGGCTCCAGTGCCCCTCCCGCAGCCTCAGCTTTATGGGTGTCAGCAGGTAGATGGAGGAGAGACTGACGAACATCCGTTTGCCGATCTCCTCCACACTGAATAGAGATGGAAAGGATGCTGTTTGCATCACTTCCCATTTTTCAGCTGACGTCACCCGGCTAGAGAACCTGGGGAAGAAACTATCCAAGCACATTTCTGCTCTTATTGTTTTAAGCAGACCTTTACCCATATCTTTAAAATAACAAACTCACATTTAGATATGTTTAGTAATGACAATCTGCAAACACATACTTCTAGATAATTGCCGGATTTGTATTCTTTGCAAACCTTATTTCGCTTTTGTTCCCCAGTCTTCTGACAGTGGCCTTGTTTACTAAGGGCAGATTACTAACTCTCCTTTTACTTCCTGGATTTCTGGCACATGTGACTAGACATGTGACTAAGGTATGTGACCATGCACATCATCTCAGGGGAGGAAATGCCTTTCCCTGAGCTCTCATAAGATTGCAGATGAGATTTCCCAGCAATGCTCGGCTGATGACAAGGCAATCCCAGTGTGCATTGCTTTTGCAAACTGAAGTCATTTTGCCCTTTCAAAGCAGGAAGTGACTTCTCTGCAAGTGTAAGTATTTCACAATCACAGCATTTTACACCTGACATGTCTATGTCATTATTAATCATCATATACAGGTGAAACTCGAATAATTAGAATATCGTGCAAAGTTCATTTATTTCACTAATGCAACTTAAAAGGTGAAACTAATATATGAGATAGACTCATTACATGCAAAGCAAGATAGTTCAAGCCGTGATTTGTCATAATTGTGATGATTATGGCTTACAGCTCATGAAAACCCCAAGAACCCCAAGAATCCCAAATCCACAACCTCAAAAAAGTAGATTATTACATGCAATCAATAAAACAAGGATTGCACATAGAACAATATCGGACCTCTGAAAAGTACAAGCATGCATATGTACTCAGTACTTGGTTTGGGCCCCTTTTGCAGCACTTACTGCAATTACTTTTGCACGATATTCTAATTATTCGAGTTTCACCTGTATAGAGGGGGAGGAATTGGTAGAATTTGATTTTTGAGTGTAAAAGTCTGCTTTAATACTGCTTTAAAACCAGCCCTCACTGACCTCTCTAGCTGTTTGTACTGTGAAACTATTTATTCTCAAAGATCAGGACAGAGACTCTTAAATCACCTGCTGTAAGTTTACATTAGAGGACTGGCAGGCCTTCAAAATTATATTCTCCATAGAAAATGTGTTTACTGGTTGTTCAGAATATGTAACTACATTAGCGTGAATAAACTGGGCACAGGTTCACTTTTAGTTTTTCCAGTCCTGTCTTTATTTCCAAAATCACAAATATAACTGAACTAAAATGCATATGATATGCTGTATTGTTTTGTACTGTGATACAAACTCTAGTATTGTATAACTGATAGTCCTATGTTATTATCTGCAGTGACCTCCAAAATGCTGCTGCAGGCTCATTTGCCAGTCTTTTTTCTGCCATGGTTCTGTGCCCGACAGAGCTGGTGAAATGCCGTCTCCAGGCCATGCATGAACTGCAAGTCTCTGGGAAGCTATTACAAGGACAAAAGTAAGTTTAGATTGAATATATCAACTGACTGAGAGAAGATTGTTGGGTAGGGGCTTTCCAGAAGGAGTTAAAGCTAACTCCTAATTGGTTGATAAAGATGACATTTTCTTTTCTCTAGATTTAGGATAGGTTCACAATCTCTACATTGAGGCAGCCTGAGGCAGTT